TGCATGCAAGACAAGCGCTCTACTACTGAGCCACCTTCCCAGCCCCTGGAGATCAGAGTTTCATGTACTTTTCTGCCCTCGCTGGTTTTGAATCATGATCCTCAGAGCTCAGCCTTCTGAGCACCTAGGATTCCAGGTGTGAGCTGCAGGCGCCGGCTCCTCCACATTTATTAGGCTAGCCCCTGGTGGCTGTTCTAGCATGGATCTTAAGTGTTGCACGTGCCTGTATTTGAGATTTTCAAGGGACTTCAAACGCACTATGTCAGTTCTAGGATTATTTCCATGTTTTATTTTCTCTACCTCCTCTGACCTCCTCAGCTCTTGGGCTCAATAAATGTCAGTTCTTTTTCTCCTTTTTTTTCTTCACCAGAGCACTTTGGAATGAGGATCCAAAATTATTTCTGTTCTTACCTCCTTTTTCCTCTCTACATTTTCCTTAGAATGGTTTCCAGCGCTTTACCAAATGTTTCTTTCCAGTTCTTCCTTATCCTGTCTTGAATTCAGGTATAAAGCTTACATTGTCTACCAGTTTTTTCAAATTGTATATTCATTTGTCATTTCAAACTCACCATTATACAAACTAAATGGATTACTTTGGCCCCCAAATCAAGTTCTTTTTCTCTTACTTTATAAAATAATCATTTTTTTTTATATTGTAGGCTCTTCGGCAAAAGCCCTTGTCAGTTTAAAAGGTAAGGATTATGTTTGTTTTAGGTATATTTATGTGTTAGAAACTTAATTCATAAAAAAATAACCCTAGGATTTCAGAGGAATTGTCTTGATAACTCCTTAGGAGTTTGAACTGAGGGCCTTACACTTGCTAAACAGGCACTGTACCAATTGAGTTATACTTCCAGACTTTTTTACTTTAGTTATTTTTGAGATGGGGTATCATGTTGATGTTTAGTTTGATCTGGAATGTGATCCTCTTATTTATTCTTCTTGCATAGCTGTAATGACAGGTGCTTATAACCATGAGCTGATGGTCTCAGATTGATCTGGTCTCAAAGTACAATTCTCTTAATCTCAGCCTCCTGAGATTGAGGATTATAGGTGTGACCCACTAAGCCTGGCTTTTTGTTTTTTCCTAGTCCTGGGGCTTGAACTGGACTGGACACTGTTCCCTGAGCTTCTGTTGCTCAAAGCTAGCATTCTACCACTTGGGCCACAGCGCCACTTCTGGCTTTTTCTGTTTATGTAGTACTGAGGTATCAAACCCAAGACTTCATGCATGCTAGGCAAGCACTGTACCACCGAGCCACATTCCTAGCCTCCCCTTAATTTTCATATCTAATCATTTATTTGATTGGGTTTTTCCTGTATGTATAGCACATTTCTTTGAATTTTTTTTTGAAATACTGCACTAAATTTTTTTGTTTTTGTTTTTTGGTTTTGTTTTTTATCAGTTGTGGGGCTTGAATTCGACCTGGGTGCTGTCCTTCAGCATAAGGCGAGCACTCTACCATGAGCCACAGCACCACTTCCAGTTTTCTGGTGGTTAATTGGAGATTAGAGTTTCACGGACTTTCCTGCACGGGCTGGCTTTGAACTATTGAAACAAAAAACATTGAGATATGTGTTGCAAATTCAAAGTTGAAGGAAGAGGCCTTTCCTATTTCTGTTCCTTGCTTTAGTCAGAATTGTCTAGAGAATTATGGGATCATGGAATTGAGTACAAGAATAACTAAATGTCAAAAAGAAGGGAACAGCCAGGCTCTCACACCTGTAATCCTAACTACTCAGGAGGCTGAGATCTGAGGATCACGACTCAAGTCCAACCTGGGCAGGAAAGTCCGGGAGACAGTTATCTCCAATTGACCACTAGAAAACTTGAAGTAACACTGTGGCTTAAAGTGGTAGTGCACTAGCCATGAGTGAAAGACCGCACCCAGGCCCAAAGTTCAAGCCCCAAAAGGGGGGGGAGGGGGAACAAAGATGCTACATATTTTAAAGCAGAAGCTTAATACTAAGTTTCATGTCTTTATTGAGACTGAACAGAAGAATATAGATGTTTTTATTTGCAATAAAATGCAGTTATTATGAGCAATGTATATTATTCACACCGGTATGTACTTTAAATACATTTCTACTATTTAAAAGATCATATTTATGATATGAAATCCTTTGAACAAACTTAAAATTTATTAGTATTATTTGTTACAGAGGGAAGCTTATCTAACACATGGAATGAAAAGTACAGTTCTTTACAGAAAACTCCTGTTTGGAAGGGCAGGAATACAGGCCCTGCTGTAGAAATGGTAAGGAATAAGTTAACTTTTTCAAATAATAACTAGCTTGTGTTATTATTGTGTGTAAGTTCTTAGCACAATAACAGGGTTTTTATTTTTCCAAACTCAAGCACTTGGGTCTTTGTCATAAAGTAAATTTGAGCTTATGGAGATAAATTATCTACAGTGATTATCTTATCACCATCAAGCATGAGATAAATAATTATAGGTTCTTTAAATACAAAAGGCAAAAACATGCAGACAACCTAAAGTCATAGTTTTACTAGAGTACAAAAAATTTCATGGGGCTCTCGTGCCTGCATAGAGATATGTATGTCATCAACTGGTGAAATATTAAATCTTGTGTAGATCAAGGATAAATACATTTGGAAAGGAAGTCAAGGTGAGTGTGTAATTGCCTGGTAACAATTTTAGGAACTCTGTTTCTTCCCTGCTCAACCAGGGAGGTAGGTAGAGGTAGCCAGGAGGTATCTCATGGGTCAGGCATGAAACAGGCCTGTAGCTGGCAGAGATAACAGGAGTAGCCTGACCAGTGGGCCATCACAGATGGGAGGAACTGTCCTAATCTATTTTTCCCTTGCTCCTCTGTATTTGGCCAGGGAAGGAGTCTAGGTAGAAAGGACTTAACTGTCAAGACTGGAAAATCTAGTCTTGACCCAGTTGAAGGCTGCCTGTATATAATTAGCTTTGTTCACCTGTCTCCCTTCCATGTGACCTTGAAAAGCTCTCCATTTGTGTGTGTATGTGTTGCGTGCTAGTACTGAAGCTTGAACTCAGGGTGTGAGTGCTGACAGTCCACCACTTCCATGGTGTAAGTGGAGCTACAGCTCCATTTGTGGCTTTTTGGTGGTTGATTAGACATAAGAGTCTCAGGGATTTCCTCCAGGGCAGGCTTCATAGCATCATGATCCCCAGAACTCAGCCTCCTGAGTAGCTAAGCTTATAAGTCTCTGCTCTGGTGCCCAGCCCGTAGAGCTGTCTTGAGTGATAAGGGACACTTGGCAAAAAGATGCGGGTCTTGGAAGTGGCGCCGTGGCTCAAGTGGTAGAGCGCTCACCATGAACTGAAGAGCTGAGGGACAGCGCCCAGGCCCAGAGTTCAAGCCTCACAACCTACCAAACAAACAAAAAAGATATGGGTCTCAAGCAGAGAGCTGCTGGCTCACACCTGTAATCTTAGATATTCAAGAGACAGATCTGAGGATTGTAGTTCAAAGCCAGTTCAGACAGGAAAGGTTTGACACTCTATCTCCATTAAACTAGTCAGAAAAAGGTGGAAGTGGTTCTGTAGCTCAACCTTGAGAAAAAAAATCTCAGGTCAGTACCTAGACCCTGGGTACAAGACCCAGGACCAGCACCAAGGAAAAACAAAAAAGGTGGTTCTCAAACATTTAAACCTAGGCTGGACTTTACATTTTTCCCTATTACAGACCCTTCAGTGATGTACTTTTTTCTCTTTTGTCAGTCATGGGTCTTTTATGTAGGGCGTGGGAGCTGTCCCTGAACTTTTTCACTCAAGGCTAGGTTCTACCACTTGGCACCAGAGCGCCACTTCCAGTTTTCTGGTGGTTATTTGGAGATAAGAATCTCAATGACTTTCCTGCCCGGGCTGGCGTTGAACCTCAATCCTCAGATCTTGGCCTCCTGAGTAACTAGAATATTAGGTATGAGCCACTGGTGCTCGACTCTTGTGTACTTTCAATACTCAATTCTTTTTCTTTCTTTTCTTTTCTTTTTTTGGCCAGTTCTGGAGCTTGAACTCAGGGCCGGGGCACTGTCCCTGAGCTTGTTTTTTTGCTCAAGGTTTGCATTCTACCAATTGAGCCACAGCTCCATTTTTGGCTTTTTCTAGTTTATGTGATACTGAGCAATCAAACCCAGGGTTTCATGCATGCTAGGCAAGCACTTTACCACTAAGCCACATTCCCAGTCCCTCATTTTCTTTTTAGTTCTATAGTTATCAATTCTTTATTACGTGTCTTCTATTTTCTTTTGCGGGGTGGGGAAAGTACTGGAGCTTTGAACTCAGAGCCTCACATGTACTAAGATGATGGGATCCTGCTGAATCTCATCTCCAGCCCCATATTTTGTATTTTTATTTACAAATAGAAATGTTGGGGTGCTAGCCTTGAGCAAAAAAGCTCATGGAACAGTGCCCAGGCCCTGAGTTCAAGCCCCAGGACTGGCAAAGAAATATTGTTAACAGCCAAGTGTTGGTGGCTCAGGCCTTAAATCCTAGCTACTCAAAAGGCTGAGATCTGAGGAACATAGTTCAAAGCCAGCCTGGGCTGGAAAGTTTGTGAGACTCTTAATCTCTAAATAACTACTAGAAAACTGGAAGTTCAGGGACAGTGCCCAGGCTCTGAGTTCAAGCCCTCTGACTGGGAAAAAGGAAAAAAAAATTGTTGTTAGCGATTTTTGACAGCAGATGCAATATGTTACATATTTGGATACTCCCCTAGATTATTTACTGTCCTTGACCAGCTCAGCCCGTGCACCGAACATCATGAAATACACTCTGTTGGTATTAACCAACATTTTTTTGCGGGGGGAGGGGTCTGTCGTGGGGCTTGAACTCTGGGCTTGGGTGCTGACCCTGCACTCTTCAGCTCAAGGCGAGCGCTCTACTGCTTGAGCCACAGCGTCACTTCCAGTTTTCTAGTGGTTTATTGGAGATAAGAGTCTCACGGACTTTCCTTCCCCAGGCTGGCTTTGAACCGTGATCCTCAGATCTCAGCCTCTTGGGTAGCTAGGATTACAGGCATGAGCTACCGGCGCCTGGCTAACCAACATATTTTGAACTGGGATTTCTTGTCTTCACTGTTACTGGTTGCTGGTATGATGCAGAGACATGGCTTTTAATTCTAATCATCAAGTGAAATTTGTAAACAAAGCTACCAGGATGTATATGTTAATGCTTTCTAAATCTAAGATTATTTATATTTGGCTTTGAGTGCTTTGTACTGCTCATACTTAATCCTTCCATACTGCTGATAATCAGAATTAGCTGTATTTTCCAAGTACAGGATTGTGTTTTGGAACAAAATTGACACATGTTTATTAGATGAAAAATTTCTATCATAGCCTTTCAGAAATTCAAAACGAAGTCGACTCTTCTCTGATGAAGATGACAGACAAATAAATACCAAGTCACCTAAAAGAAACCAAAGGGTTGCAATGGTTCCGCAGGTATGTGGTGCTAAGCTTTTGTTTCATTAAATAGAAGTAAGCAGTGAGTAAACATGATAAAGTGTATATTTATCTTAAGTCAGTATTTAAATAACTCTGTTCCTGTTGTAGTTACATAGACGATTTCGTGGATTTTTTGTTTTTTTGTGTGTGTGCTAGTATGGGAGCTTGAACTCAGAGCCTGGGTGCTGAGCTAACTCCAGGCTAGCGCTCTACCATTTGAGCCATACCTCTACTTTCTGGGGTTAATTGGAGATAAGAGTCTCAAAGACTATTCTGCCTGGGCAGGTTCAAACTGTGATCCTTAGATCTCAGTCTCCTGAGTAACTAGGATGTCCAGCTTGTTGGTTGACTTTAAACCAGTGTAGAAGGCCAGTTATCATCTATAAGCATGAAGATAATGGACATTAAGCAAATGGATTTGGCAAAGTGGAATCAGTTTTGAGTTTTATATGTAAATAAGAGGAGGAAATGTTTACTTCTATTACCAAAGTGATAGATTTGTTGAAGACTTTGTCTGAAAGAGGAAAATGCCAGGGCAAACTCAGAATTCCTTTTTTTTTTTTGCCAGTCCTAGGGCTTGAACTCAGAGCCTGGGCACTGTCCATGAGCTTCTTTGTACTCAAGGCTAACACCCTATCACTTGAGCCACAGTGCCACTTCTGGTTTGGTAGGTACTCGATGCAGGGTCAAATGAATGTAGGCCATAGTTAAATGGCGATTGATTTTGGGAGAGCCCAACTTTTGTCTTTATGACTGTTAAATTGTCCTGTCCTCGCTTTACCCACTGCCCTCAGGCACATCACTCCCTGTAGGAGTGTTTTGTGTGGTAGTTTATACTTATGAGCAATACAGAGCACACACAGCACACGACAGATGTGAGAGACTTCTCCGAGTGTGTGGGTTCATATCTGACTGGTTTTCTTTCTAATCTTGATCTTATATCCCTAGTTTTTTTTTTGTTGTTGTTGTTGCAGTTTTCATTCATTTAATGTGATATGGTTTGTTCTATTATCGTTCTATTATCGTCATATCCTCTAAGTGTTACATTTTGTCTATTTTTTGTTTTTTGTCCTTTGTAAGGCTTGAACTCTGGGCCTAGGTGCTGTCCTTCAGCTCTTCAGCTCAAGGCCAGTGCTGTACCACTTGAGCCACAGCACCACTTAGGGTTTTCTGGTGGTTAATTGGAGATCAGAGTCTCACAGACTTAACTACCCAGGCTGGCTTTGAACCACAATCTCAGATCACAGCCTCCTGAGTAACTAGGATTACAGGCGTGGGCCACCAGTGCCCAGCTGTGTTTTCTATTGTTGTTGATGATGTTTTGGTGGAGGATTTTGTTTTGCTTTTGGTGCTAGGGACTGAATTCAGGGCCCTGTACATTCTAGGCAAGTATTCTACCACTGAGCTACAGTCCCAACTTGTGTGTATGTTTACTTAAAGAATATCATTCAGGCTGCATACATGGCTCATACCTGTAGTCCTAACTACTCAGGAAGCTGAAATCTGAAGATTGAGGTTTGAAGTTAGCCTGGGCAAGAAAGGCCATTGAGACTATTACCTCTAACTACCAAAAAGCCAGAAGTGGAGCTATGGTTCTTATGAAGTGGTAGAGCATCTACCTTGAGCAAAAAGCTAAAGGATATCACCTAAGACCTAGTACTGGCTCAAAAAAACCCTTTCAGAGCTGAAAAATTATAAAAACTATTTTGTCGATTACTTACCCTGGTCCAGGTCCTACTCTAAGCATTTCATATCTATTACCTTGACTTCAATAATTCAACAGCCTCCATGATACAGATTACTATATTCCCAATTTGCAGATAAAAGGTCTTATGAAGAAGTTAAGTATCTTGTACAAGATGAAAGCTAGGAAATGGAGACCAACAATAAAACGGTGGGCAGTCCGTCTCCAATGTCTCGCTTTCCTTTCTAATAAATAAAACTGTTGGTATACAGGTCACATGATTATATAAACCATCTCTTTAATAGTAATTGGTACATAGTCATCATTACAATTTTAGAGCATTTTTATTACCCCAGAAACATTGTACCTAACAGTCATTCCCAATTTTCTTCTTTTTTGGGGGGGGGGGGCGCAGTGCTTTGGTTTGAACTGAAGACTTAAGCACTGTCCTTGAGTATTTTTGCTCAAGTCTAGCCCTCTACCACTGAGCCACAGCTTCACTTCCAGCTTTTTGCTAATTAATTGAAGATAAGAGTCTCATGGTCCTTCCTGTCCAGGCTGGCTTCAAGCCACATCCTTAGATCTCAGCCTCCTGAGTACCTTGGATTACATGTGTTAGCCACTGGCATCCAACTTCTTTTCTTGAATAAACCCTTAAAAATATAACTGCTATAATGGGTATTTATATTTAAAATCTGGAAGATACTATCATGCATAATATATATTAAATTTATATCATATATATATATACATATCCAGTGAGCAACTAATTCCCACTTAAAAATATGGGTCACTGGAGATCATGGTAAACAAGATATAACAGGCTCAGAAAGACAAATATTTCATGTTTTGCTTATATGTGGAATTTAGACCTTTTAAAAACGTATATTAGCTGGGCACTGGTTTCTCATGCCTGTAATCCTAGCTGCTCAGGAGTTTCAGATCTGAGGATTTTGGTTCCAAGCCAGCTCAGTCAGGAAAGTCCATGAGAATCTTATCACCAGTTAACTACCCAACCTCCAGAAGTGGAGTGCTAGCTTTTAACAAAAAGCTACAAAGCATTGCCTCGATGATGAGTTCAAGTCCCACCACTGGCACAAAAAAACAAAAATACAAAATAACATGACATGATTGTAAAAAGTGGGGAAAAGGGCTGGGAAGGTGGCTCAGTGGTAGAGTGCTTGCCTTGCCATGCGCAAGGCCCTGGGTTCAGCTCCTCAGTACCACATAAACAGAAAAAACCAGAAGTGGCGCTGTCGCTCAAGTGGTAGAACCCTAGCCTTGAGCTGAAGAACCGAGGGACAGCAGCCAAGCCCAGAGTTCAGGACCCACAACTGACCAAAAAAAAAAAAGTGGAGAAGACTGATCGGTGGGAGACAACCAGTGAGAGGTTGGAAGGGGAAAGAAAAAGTGACAGGTGGTGAATATGTAGAAGTAAATTGTGTGTGTGTGTGTGTGTGTGTGTGTGTGTGTGTGTGAAAATAGCATAATGAAACCTGCTTTTAAAAACCTGTTAAAATGGAGGAAGGAAGAGCCGGATGCTGGTGGCTCACACCTGTTATCATCCCAGCTCAGGAGGCTGAGATGTGAGGATCGTGGTTCAAGGCCAGCCAGGGCAAGAAAGGCCATGAGACTCTTATCTCCAATAAACTACTCAGAAAACTGGAAGTGGTGCTGTGGCTCAAGTGCTAGAGCGCTATCCTTGAGCTGAAGAGCTGAGGGACAGTGCCCAAGCCCAGAGTACAAGCCCCACGACCGACAAAAAAAAAAAAAGGGAAGGAAGAGAAAAAGGGATAAAGATGAAGTGGATTTGATCAGAGTACATTATATGTATGTGATATGTAAATATTATAATTAGACCCCTTTCTACACATGTAGAGCCTCACGCATGTTATTCTAGCTACCAAGGATAGTAAAAGTTCTTGAGACTCCCATCTTAACCAGTTAAAAAAAAAAAGTCATAGCTGGGTATCAATTGCCTCAAGCCTTTAATCTTAATTATTTAGGAAGCTAAGATCTGGGGATCATGGTTTGAAGCCAACCTGGTAGACAAATTTGTAAGACTCTTTTGTCTTTAATTAACTAGCAGAAAGCCAAAACTGAAGGGGTGCATCAAGTGGTAGATAGAGTCATCATCCCTGAGTGAAAAAAGCTGACCAAAGAGTGCGAGGCACCCTGTACTGGCATAGACATACACAAAAGTGAGCGTGGCGGTGAACACCCATCATTCCCGTAAGTGGAGAAGTAGGAGCAGGAGGATCGTGGTCCTGGCCAGCCCAGGCAAAATTTCAAGACCCTGTTTTAAAAAAGCAAAAGTACTTGTACTGGACACTGTGTTGAAGATGAGCTATACAATTTGTGGGTGGGGTGGGAGGGAAAAACGAGGGGAGAGTGAGGGAAGGGGTGACTGTCCAAAAAGAAATATACTCATAGCTGGCGCTGGTGGCTCAAGCTTGAAATCCTAGCTACTCAGGAGGCTGAGATTTGAGGATCACAGTTCAAAGCCAGCCTGGGCAGAAAAGTCAGTGACACTCTTATCTCCATTTAACCAGAAAACTGGAAGTAGAGCTGTAGCTCAAAGTGGTAGAGCATTAGTCTTGAGCAAAAGTGCTCAGAGACAGTGCTGAGGCCCTGAGTTCAAGCCCCATGGCAAACAAACAAAAAAAAAGAAATACTCATTACCCGACTTATGTAACTGTAACCCCTCTGTATATCACCTTTATAATAACAATTTTTAAAATGTTTAAAAAAAAAAGCAAAAAATGCTGGGGAATACATCAAATGTACAGTGCCTACTTGGCAAGCTCAAGGCCCTGACTGTTGCTAAAATAAACACACTGCGGGCTGGGAAGGTGGCTAGTGGTAGAGTGCTCGCCTTCCATGAGGCCTTGAGTTCCATTCCTCAGTATCACATGAGCAGAAAAGGCTGGAAGTGGAGTTGTGGCTCAAGTGGTAGAGGGCAGCCTTGAGCTGAAGTACTTAGGTCAGCGCCCAGGCCAGAGTTCAGGCCCCACGACCAACCAAAAAAATAAACAAACATATGGTGTGTCACCCCTCCTTCACTTTCTCTCATTTCCCCTCTCATCCCTGCCCACAAATTACATGGTTCATTTTCTACCTGTTGTATACTGAATAACATGATTGCATTTGCTCACCCCACCTTTCTCCTTTTCTGTGCCTCCCCTTTGTCCCGTTCTCCCCCCCCAACAAAAAGCAAAAACTAAACATCACTACCAACACTACCAACAAAAAAATACCATGTTCCATTTCCTGGAATTCTTTGATAAATAGTATTTTGTTGTTTTTGCTGGTTGCTGTCCCTGAGCCTCTTTGTGTTCAAGGTACTAGCCTACCACTGGAGACATGGCACCACTTCCGGTTTTTGAGTGATTAATTGGAGATAAGTCTCATGGGGACTTTTCTGCCCAACCTGGCTTCGAATGTCTATCCCCAGACCTCTGCCTCCTGAGTAGCTAGGATTTACAAGCGTGAGCCACCAGCACCTGGTAATAAATAGTATCTTAAATGTTCAGAGAAGTTACACCTTTAACTTCGTCCCCTAAGAGTATCCTCCTCTAGTCTGACTGTGTGGATACCTAGAATCCTATAGAGGTTATCATTATATTTTACATCTAGTTTCTACGTATGTGTGGTAACATTATTTTATGATACCATGGTTGTTCTAGAGGTTAAACACTTCTAGCAGGCTACTGGTGGCCTTACACCTGTAATCCTAGCCATGTATAATTTTTCTTGTGCTGGTCCTGGGGCATGAACTCAGGCCCTTGAGCTCTCAATAGCCTCTTGGACTTTCTGTCCTGGCTGGCTTTGAACCTCAATCTTCAGATCTCAGCGAATGGCAGTGCTGGTGTTAGCACTCAGGGCCTTGTGCCTGCAGAGCAGTTGTTCTACCACTTGAGCCACACCCTCAGCCCTCAGTCAGCTTTTTTGCTACTCATAGCTGGTGCTCTACCACTTGAGCCACAACACTAGTTTTGACTTTTTTTGTGAGCCAGTTCTAGGGCTTGAACTGAGGGCCTGGGCGCTGTCTGAACTTTTTTGCTCAGGGCTAATGCTCTACCATTTGAGCCACAACTCCTTTTGTGGCTTTATTCATGTTTCATTGGAGATAAAAATCTCATGGACATTCCTGCCCAATCTGGCTTTGTACCTTGATCCTCAAACCTCAATCTTCTGAAGTAGCTAGGATTACAGGCAAGAACCATCAACAGCATTGGCTTTTTACTGCTTAATTGGAGATGAGTCTCTTGGATTTGTCTGCCTGGGCTGGCTTTGAACTGAAGTCCTTAACTGCTTAGGATTTTTGGAGTCGAAAGAAAACCATTCTGCCAAGTGTCTGGCAGTTTTCTGTTTCTGCAACTCACTACCAACAGTGGAATGATTTATAAAGAAAAGAGGTTGGAGCCAAGCTCTGGTGGCTCACATCTGATATCGTAGCTACTCGGGAGGCTGAGGTCTGCAGATTGTAGTTTGAAGTCAGCCTAGGCAGGAAAGTTGGTGAAACTCCTATCTCCACTAAAATCTACCCCCTCCCCAAAAAAAGAAAAAAAAGCTGGAAGTGGAGCTGTAGCTTAAGTGGTAGAACACTAGCCTTGTGCATAAAAGTTCAGGGACAGTGCCCTGGCCCAGAGTTTAAGCCCAAGGACTGTTGAAAAGAAAAAAGAAAAGTTTGCTTTTGACTCATAGTTTTGGAGGTATAGGAGGCTAGAAGTTTTGGAAGGCTGGCATCTGCTCACCATCTGATGAGGGCCATCTTTTTGCTAAGGTGTGGTATGGTGTGTCACAGGCCAAGTAAAGGAGTGAGGGTCTCAGGGGGAGTTTGCTTTGGTAGTTAAAGCCACTCTCAGAACTCATTTATCTGCTAATGGATCCACCCATTCATGAGGGCAGGGTCCTTACCACCTAATCACCTTTTTCCTTTTTTGATGTGGGTCCTGGTAAGGACCTGTCATTAGCGCTTTTGTGCTTAAGGTTAGTGCTGTACCACTTGAGCACAGTTCTACTTCCAGTTTTTTTGATTTGTGTATTGGAGATGAGAGTCTCACAGACTTTGCTGCCTGGACTGGCCTTGAACCTCAATCCTCAGATCTCAGCCACCTGAGTAGTTACGATAACAGGTATGAGTCTCCATTTCCTGGCTCTTATCACCTTTTAAAGGTTTTAATTCTTTCTTTTTTTTTTTTTTTTCTGGTCGTGGGGCC